CTTTCTTTCGGCTTTTTTTCCACAAGATGGAAACAATGTGGCAACGTGCTTCTGACACTTCTTGGCACTTTGGGTTTTCTCTTTCTCTGCTGAGCAGCATGGTGAGTGGAGGTCATCCCAGGGAGGGATTCAGCCGACTTCCCCTACGGGGGCATGTGAAGGACATCCTGAAGGAGCTGCACTCCGGTTGCGGCCCTTTGTTTACCCCTGCTGACCCTGCATGCTGGCCTTACGCCGTTACTTCCCCACTGTTCTTGGTGCTGTGTTCTCGTCGAGGGCAACGTTACCGAGCGCAGTGAGAGCTGCTGTACCCAGCCCGGATTATTCCACCAGCCTAAAGCTGCCCGGGCCGAAACACGGCCTGCGTCTCAACAGTCAACAAACATGTTTACAGCAAACGACTTCCCAGAGAGCTGGCCTTCTAGGACACATACACCCCCCCACCCACACACACACACACCACTTCTTAGAAGTCAATCATAGCCTCATGTGATGCTTGTGATTTTTCTTAATAAATAAATAACAGAACCCTTCAACTAAATAAGAGCGGGAGTCCCCCGCACACAAAACAAAACATTGTTCCTCATCCCTCTCCTCGTCACTCCATGTCTCATATTCAGTCTGGACAGGAGGGAGTTTGGGAACCTCTGTTGGCCAGCTGTCAAGGGAAGGAGGGAAGGAGGGGAGGGGGTCTCTGTCACTGCAAACTTTTCCCTCCCAGGCTCACCCGGCTTGAGACATCCAGCCCCGTGCTGCCTGAATTCATCCGCCCGCTCCTGTTTTCCTCAACCTTCACCGCCTTACCTCCTCTACACCATGTGTCAGTATCCTACATGCTCTTGTTCCAACGGGGTCAACGGCCTCTGCAGTCCAGGTGGAGTAGCTTACGGGGAGAACGGCACGTTTCGTGGAGATCATCTACTCTCAGGCCAATCCAATAACACACTGGACTCTGGAAGGATCTAAACCTTTAATTTGGGATTAAACGGCAAATTGTGAACGTGCGGCGACATTTATTTGACTAAATAAGTCGTACACATTTACACAAACTAACGTATGGTTGGATGTGTTTTCCCAGAGCTCTGAATCTGTCTGAGTATGTCTAGCAGTTACAGAGAAGTCAAAAGCACACATGCTGTTGCTAATGAGTGCAAAGTCACGACTCCAGCTGCGCCCCTGAGATTCCACCCGTCTCTCTGAGCGCGCTGACAGAGACACGGTCGCTGACGGATGAGTCACAGCCCGCTCCTGTATGTGAGACACCTCCTCCGTCCCGCGCTCTGTGTCTCCCTACATCTGCTTTGCATTAGCCTGTTGCCATGCAGGAAAAAACACAATTCTTTTGTAGTCTGTTGCAGCTAATCGGGAAGTGAATTGGGGGGGTGTTTCCTGTTTCCTGCGCTCGCCAGACAGAACGGACTCGAGGCCCAGTAGCAGCGTTCGGTTTCCGAATCTTGTGCGTTCCTCCAGGAAACTGAGGAGAGTCATCACCTGGTGGAGCACAACATTAAGTCCTCTCTCTCTCTTCTTCAGATATCTGGCAGACTATCAGCTCTGAGTCATCCGCCAGCCTCTTTCTCCTGTGTTAGGGTTAGATGTTTTCAGGGGTGACCCAGACCGCTGGACTTTCCAGTCGCACCAAAAATGAACTGGATCCGGTTAACAATCAAAAAGTATTTAATAAACAAGAGAAGCTAGAACAGTTGCAAACTGAATTACTCTATCGATATCAATATGTCCCCAGGGCAGAGTTCTCACAAGGCCCACTAAATAGCCCAGCCCAGCTGGTAAACTACCCAGAGTGGTAACGGCGCGAACTCTGGCAAAAACCCTCTGGAACTAAGCCTATATTTAAAAGTCTCTGTCCGAAAGTTTAAATGTCCAGTATCAGCCTCTGTGATTGGCCGAAATTCAATAGCCCCTCCTGGCTTGGGGCAGTTATCATCTCAGTGTTTGGTTGAAGTCGTCCGGACTCCTCCTCAGGTCCTGGTGGTCAGTTGTCCACCCCTCTGTTCTCTGCTGCACCTCTGTAAAGTCTCACACAAAATGTTCCCTTTCTGACCCTCAAAACTATTCATACAGTGTTTTAATACCTTTAGTGACTATACTTCTATGGTTTAATACATTCAATGAGTAAAATACTGTAACATAATATCCTCTACAAGTAAGAATATTGTAAACATAATACATTCCATAAGTAAATATTTTGTGACTTTTTAACCTATTTTGACATTATTATTATTGTGACACTTCTACTCACCACTAGGGGTGTTATTTAATCCTACTTATAATATTTCTAATACTGAAATCCTTAACACCTGCCAGAGGGCAAGACTTCGGTGAAGACAATGTTACGGGAGGGTTACATAGACATTACCAGGAGCAGAGCGCCGTGGGGGTCAGACTGACTGCGAGTACGGCTGCTGCTGCGTAACAAGGCGGAGTAAACTCTACTGCCGTCACCGTACAACACGAACAAGGGAACTCGAGGGTCCAGGCGTGGAAGTGACGACAACAGCAATGTTCTTCAACAAGTCGCGACATATTTATAAAGCTTGTAAGCTATTTGTCTAGATAACAAAGTAATTTTGCCTGTGAAGGAATGTAACAACGTACATTTACTCAGGTACTGTACTTGAGTACAAATGTCAGTTACTTGTACTTTCCTGAGGTATTTCCATTTGATGCCACTTTATACGTCTACTAGCTGTAAGTTACTTGTTACTACTGTTGCCACTTTTTTTGTATTTAAAATGTCAGGAACTAGTGAAAAGTTAGTTCAGGGTCATGTCTTCATAAATCTTGTTTTCGTCCGACCAACAGTCCAAGACCTAAAGATATTACATTTTCAATCATGAAAACTGAAAATCTTCCTATTTAAGGGGCAGTAAATAGCTATTTCTTTGCATTTTTGCTTGAAAAAATGATTTACAACATATGACGTTTGAATAGTAGACTAATTGTAGCAGTTGTATATACAAGATAAGATTTACGTCCATATAAAGATTCCACCTCAACAACTACAACAGTAAAATGCTACATAAATGCTTTAATACTAATTCAGTATAGAATAACTCACAGGGGGCTTTTTTTCTGCATTGAGTCCTTTGACTTTTGATGCTTTATATAGATTTTAGGCAAGCTACTTCTGGACTTCTGCTTAAGTAACATTTTAAAAACTAGATTTTAACTTTCAAAAGCATTTCACAGTGCAGTGTCGAGTCCATTACTTAAATAATGGATCTGAATACTTCCTGCACCACTGAGCTTTGCTGTCCTGATTGGTAAGCAGGATTGTGTCTAGGAAAGACGTTCACGGTCCTCCACTCATTCAGTTTTTATTCACAGGAACTCAACGCTGCTGGCTGACTGAACATTCATTCAGAAAGTGCAGCAATTGAACAAGGCCTTTGTGAGTTACCATTACAACTCCCCTCCAGCACATCATCTCGCTGGGGCCGGATTATTTGATCAACTCACGGTGGTTCTCCCTCCAGCTGTTTCCAGACAATACAAACAGCAGGAAAGAGCTTAAAAGCACAGCCTAACTTTGTACATCAGCTCAACTGGAAAAGGTCTAAAAATGCTGGCTGGCATCGTCACACAGCACCACAGCTTGTGTGTGTGTGTTTGTTGTCATTTGTTTTTCTCTGCTCATCCCTCCTGTCGCATGTTTGGAGTCAAAACAAACCGGAGAGCGGAGCCAGGATGAATGGCCCGCCAGATGTCAGAGAAAAACTGCAGCAGACGCTTCCAAAACGTCCCGTGTTGACCCCAGATAACAGTTTAGAGCAGACAGAGGAAATGATTGTTTGCTTTGAATGTTTTGATGTGAAAAATGCAAAACAACAAAATAAACACCATAGTAACATAGTACAGTAGTTACATTTACTATAATCGCAGGAACAATTGGTTGTCGGTGGACAGAAAATTAATTTCAATCATCAATTTGTCATTCAAATACTTTTCCAAGCAAAACTGCCACAAATTCTCAAATTCTGGCTTCTCAAATATGAATGTCTGCAGCTTTTGTTGGTTTTAATTGACTGTAGATGTCAAATATTTGGCTTTTCAACTCTTGGTTGGATAAAACAAACTATTTGGAGACTCCAAATAAATTGACTAATCAAGAAAATAACGTTCAGATTACTGACAATAATGAAAATTGATAATGAAAACGTGATTTCTCCCTCCTGTTTTGATATTACTAGTATTTATTCCTCACAGTATTCTTCTTCTTCTTCTTCTTCTTCTATCCATTGTAATCCATGAGATGCAAGTGGTTGTAGTGTACGTTATGTAATTACTACAGTTTTACAACTAAAAAAAATCAAGAAGAACAACTTCTTGTACAGACATGACAATCTCTGAATTGCAAAAACACACAGGCCTCTCCACTGAATCCTCCATCGCAAACTGTACTCAGCCTCCTCAGATATGCATGCACCACATGCCTCCTACAAACCAGGGGTACTCACTGGAGACCAGCTAGATATCTAAAAATAGAAATCTGGGTTAACAATCAATAGCTAGACAGTTAGGCATAAAGCTGTGTCGAGGGGGGAGCTGAGAGAGAAGGGGGGGGGTTGCAATAACATGAATGGGTCGCAGCAGCTAAAGGTGTAATAAAGGATTATTTGAGCTGAGGCGTCTAGAAAAAGCATCTGGATATGGGCAGCTGTGGAGCCTTTATGTCGCACAGCCTGCTGGATATCAAGTCTCCATATGTGGACCCCTAACACACATGATTTGGATTCCTATGCCAGCTGCCAAATTCCCACAAGGCTTTGAATCTCTCGATGAGGCTACATTTCTTTTTTACAATTTGCGGTTTACAGCGCTGAGAGGAAAGCGTGTGATTTGAATTACAATAACAGCAGGAAGGAGACAGATCTGTACACCCCCCCCTCCAGTCTCCAGCCCTCACTGCCTGCTTGGCCCGTTAACACGGAGCCATCCATTGAGGCGCTCAGACTGGGGGGTAGGGATTTTTGTCTTACCTATTTTTATTTTAACGCTCTGGAAAACCCGGAGACCTTCCTCTTCTACCGCCATGCTTTCCCCGTGGCTCTTTCCCTTTAGACGACTAGATAAAGACAGTCCTCCACGGTGGTCGGTTCTGGCCTCTCCAGCGCACGGATAATCCAGGGGTTTTGCACATCTATGCTCTCCGGACAGCGATCACACTCCGGGTCCCGATCACTGCTTCTGCTGGCTGGTTGAAGAACAAGCGGGCAGATTCAGCTTCAGTCCCGCAGCAGCAGCAGCAGCAGTGGAGGTGTGGCTCCACACAACACCGCCCACACCATGTATGGAGGGTGATCCGTGCCACTGGGAGGCGAGGCAGTGGCGTCATTGAGGAAAATAAAGACAGCCTCCCACTCTTCCAGTCAGAAAAATAAAGTATGGTAATGAAAATGATATAGTGGTAACTTACCAGTAAGTTGCATCCAGTCCCATCCACACCTAAACCCAGTGACCAACTGACAAGTCTATATATTGTAATATTTGACCTACGAAGTTCCCCTTGGAAATAGCAGCAGTAGTGTTGTGGATGACACTGCTTCTTCTCTTCTTACTTCTCTCCCTATCACCCCTCATACAGGCTTCGATGTTCCTGCTCCTCTTTGGCGTTAATCACCCCTCATACTGGCTTCGATGTTCCTGCTCCTCTTTGGCGTTAATCACCCCTCATACTGGCTTCGATGTTCCTGCTCCTCTTTGGCGTTAATCACCCCTCATACAGGCTACAACGTCATGAGGATGGCTAGACTCTGAATTGACAAGAACTGGCTCATAATGTTGAATGATTTAGAAATATATAAGTGTAGCTGCTGGCAAAGCTAGGTCACCATACTCATATACATCAGCGTTTTATTTATTTATGTACCTTTCCTCTCTGAAAATTGGCGATGCATTTTCTGTAGCTGTTCAGTGTTACTCCCCCTTTATGGGCCCCACATGCAGCAGCACTATCTGACTCTACTGGATCTCTCCGGATTGTTTCCTACATCAAATAGACTGCAGATGCAAAAGAAAAAACTACAACACAGCTTTAAACTGTTATTTCTCTGGCGTGAATGATCTATTGCTGCTCCCATGAGCTGAGCTTTACTGGCTGTAAACGACTAAGGATCCTCACTCCCATTTCAACTGCTGTGCGTTATGGTCACTGCCAAACTCAGGACATGGTGTACAATAATATGCTTTAAAAAGTGCAGCACACTGACGTTTAAGGTTGTCACAGGAAGAGGAAACAGCCTTGGCCTCTGGATACTAAACTAAATTGATCAACATCCAGCAAAATGTTTACTTGAGTTGCGTCAGGGGAGTTATGGTTTCCCTACAGTATGGCCTAATAATGACAGAAAAGCGAGACAAATGCACAGAGAAAGGTCCCTCACCACTTGAACTCAAACATCAACCTGACATTATTGAGTGTAAAAGAAGATTTTTTGTTTGTTTGGTCATGTGTTATGTTTCAAACAAACTTCCTCCATTAACGGATACTGTACATCAACAATACTGAGAAATAAAATGCTTATTTTCATGGTTTGCATTCGGTTTGTTGAATCATTCTGTTCAAGAGGGTACAAGGGTGCAAATCTCTTGTAAATGTCATGGTCAATAAATATTTCTTGAATGGTCAAATAAATCCCTGTCTCTCAGAGTTCCACCAACATAATTAAAAATGCTATTGATTTGACTGAATCACCACCAAACTCGTATCAAACTATCCTGATGATAGACAAAATGAGCTAATGGAAACAAGGTAATTATAGAGCCAAAAGAGAATTGTTCCTAAAAGCAAAACACGACAGCAATAACCTGTAAATTATTCATTTGTCCCTGTTTTCCTGTTGACACTGATCTCGAGCCAAATTCAACAGATGGAAGAATGGACACGGTACTGGTTTCCTCGGTGGGGGGGGGGGAGTCTGGAAAGGGTTTAACATCCATTCAGGTGAAAGACACAGGATCGTCATCAGCCCACACTTTGAGCCTATTGGACCACGCCTCTGAGATCACCATGACCACATTCCTCAAAATAGCCCGACTCTGGTCAGGAGCACCCTACAAACCCAGCTGGCCTAGCCCAACCCAGCAGAGATGTGGGACTTAAACAGCAGTCGGACAGTCTCTCTACCAGGAGCGAAGGTTAGCTGCAGTGCTTCCTCTGCCAGCTAAAGTGTTCGGATTAGCTGTGACTCCTTTAGAACAGCTCTAAATCGAATTAGGCTAAATGTCCCGTATACCGTCAGCCTGTTAGACTCTCCTCTTAAAGAGAAATGACAGCAACAACACTTACATGCACTAAAGCTAACAGAATGCAGCAGGGAACGGAATTAAGTACATTTACATTTAATTCCACTTATACTTCTACTCCACATTTCAGAAGTAATTATTGTACTTTTTACTTCACTACATGGTTTGACACATTCAGTTTCTAGTTACTTTGCAGATTCGGATCATCTGTGGTGGAAAGTAACTGACTGCATACTGCTAAGCTGTTGTTTGCAGTGCCACTAAAGACAGATCTCCCCGCTAAACTTCTCACATGGTTTCATTTAAATAACTCTTCAAGGCCAAATGAAGAAACATCATTCAAAGATTACAAAAAAGTAACAAAAAGGAAAACAGATTTGTGGAGAAAGACAATTTTTCTTCTTTTCTCTCACGTTAAACATCTCACGGCCCCTCAGATTTCTCTTTTCACCCTTCGGTGGGAGCCTGACAACTTAAAATGCTGCTTACACACTGATGCACTAGTCCCACACTTACAGTACAACACTTACAGAGGCAATATTCATGCAGAATGAGTACTTTTACTTTAAGTAAATTCTGCTGATAATACTTCTGTACTGATGTGGGAATTTGAATGCGTGTAACAGTCTTTTTACAAAGTTGTTTTGATACTTCTTCCATCAGTGCAGATCATCAATACAAAAGATAATTTAAAAGTATTCAATGATGCATTATAATAGAAAAACTGCCCAACAGTATATAAAGTAGTTCAAAATTAGCCGCACTTTTACCAACTGCAACAATAGTGACATAAAGGGACCCTTACACATTGATGATGATGCACATTGATACTATAATTACAGTATAATCCAATTGTACTTTTACTTTCAGTAATTTAAACATATTTTGATGCCAACATTTTACATAAATACTTTTTTGAACGCATGTACTTCACTTATACTTCAGTATAGTATCTGAGTACGTTTCCCACCACTGACTGGATGTGTATATTGTGCCTGTGCCTGCATATCAGTGACACAGTTAATCCAATTTGCGTGCCTTTGGTTATCTCCTCTAAAATTCTGTAGCAACTTCCATAGATATTAACCATGGTGTGTATACATAACCTTAGCACAGGGAAAACAGCAACAATGTAGGTCCTTTATGTTGGCCACATCCTGTCAGCTGTGTGTTTGTGCAACTTGTGGCAACATGGGATAGCAAGTTGGGCTCTACCTTAATTTAAAGTCTATTTAGCCCAGCAGGTAAGCCGTGAACTCTCCTCTTGACTGTACATTTGCATGCACAGATGTAACACCAGTCAAATTAACGTAATATAAGACAATGCAAGAGTCAAGGGTTGCCACTATCATTACACAGCAACCAAAGTAGTATCATATCTGCCAGCAAAAATGCGAGGTGGAGAACACTGTTTTTTTGTAGCTGTGTGCATCACATAGGGAAATACTGCTTTAAAAATGTTAATGACGTGCATTTATTTCAGTTTAGCTAAACTGGCTACGCCCTGTGGTAAACCACCACAAGCCTGTGTGTGTGACTGTGTGCGTGTGTATGAGTGCTAGTGCTATAAAACAGAAAAAGGCCCTCATATTTTGGAAGTCTAACTTATCACGAGTAAAAAAGTGAACGAGGATATCAAAATAAGTGTAAGCTTGGCGTCAAACAGTGTCTGTGCAAGTGTTTGCATACGTTTGTATGTGTATGCGTGACAATTCAGAGCCATTGACAGAAAGAGGAAGAGAAGGCAGATGCTGACTCTAAGCACATTAGTGAAAGGATGCTCACTGTAGTTTTATTACGCACAAGCCAGCCACCAGAGCAGCGACTGAGGGCGTTGGCACACTTAAAATAACTGCACACTCTCCCTACCGTGGCTTGTTCTTTATTTTTTTGTGGTACAAGCACACACCATGACACACATTGTACATATGTGAATATGGTGTATGTGAAGGAGACGGGGAGTTCTGAGTTGAACAGATGGCGATTGACATGTGCAAAGTTAATCTGGTATTATGGGGGAAAAACAAATGAAATCTCTACGAATACTACATAAATCAAATCTTAGAAGAATGACTGTGATTTCATATGTGGAACGATCACCAATGCAACTTTATCTCTAATATTTCCAACTCAGAATCTCCAAGTTGATCAGACTTTTATTTATATTTTTTTAGTTGATTGTTTCCAAACTCCACCGTTCTCAACGCTGCATCTGGAGAAAATAAAAATACAAAAAAGCAGAAATCATGCTGTAGGCTAGTTAGTGGGGCTACAGAAAAATGAATCAGCAACATATGCAGATATGTGGACAGTCCTGGCTCTATCCCTTCAGTTAAACCAGAAATCCAAACATTTATACAAAAACACAACTTTTTGTTAATCTGCCACAGTCTCTGATTGGTCACGAGGGGCAATAACTAATTTCATGGAGGGTGACATGTTGTCCTTCAAACCACTTAATGCATGCAACCCTCCCACCAAAAAAAAGCTATTGAAAAATTAGCAAGCGTGGGATACAGTCTAATGATATACAGCATTCTGGGCTTTTGATTAGTGCAAGCAGCCACTCTTCAAATGATGGATGTTTGCATGAAGACTTGTTTAGATAAACTCCATTCTGTTGTCCCTAAATACATTGAATAAAACCCATTCATTTTGGATTGAAATAGCAGCACTGCCAAACCTTGCAATTCATTACTTCAGTTTAGTTTAGTAAGCCCTTGAGAGCAAAGAGAACAACAGAGTGTGACTGCAGCAATGCCACAACAATCAGTATTATATCACCACCTAGTGTGCACTATGGGCCAGTGACCCCAACTTCTAGATTTACAGGACGGAGGCAATAGTCATACAGATATTTTAGACTGGTCTGTGGTTTTATGCCAGTCTTAATCTTCCCTGACTGGTCTAATGCAAGTAAGACAGTTTCACATTTTAATGTTTTCCTCTTTATTATTTGGTGCCACTAGTCAGCAGGAGTCAGAGTTAGCCAAGGGGTAGGGAGTCGAACTTTAAGTCAGTCTTAGTAAAGCATCTCAGCTCTGCACTGGATGTTTGTTTTTGTTGTATTGTTACACTTTTGGCTACGGGTAACCCTTAAATCAAATGTCTTGTAACTGTTGCATTCTTCCAGAGGGCTGCTGGAGTAATCCTTGTAAATTAGTCCAACTAGAATATAAATCAAGAACTAGACAGCTTTGTGCAAGACGTCTATCTGAAATCAGATTTTGAAGTGTTTTCGCATATTCTAGCTGATTAGCTAATTTACCGGATGAAGCAAAGCTAACAGTAGAGTGATGGAGATGTCAATCAACTACCATTTGTACACGCTGACACACTCCTGAGAGGACATCTAATCAGTCAGTCAAGGAATCTTGATTTTATTTCCTGAGCCCAAACACTGCACACTTCCAATGATTCTCCGATGTGATAGTTATTGATAACAAGCTATATTAATTGTGGTACACTCAAACCTTAGGGCAAAACAGTAAACTAATGGCCCCCGTAGCAACAGTTTTACAATTGGCCACAAACTTTGATCAAATGCAGTACAAGGCCTCTGTTTTTTCCAGTTTTGTGTTTAATATATCACATTAAATGTAATTTTGATCAAGCATGGCACATGGTGATCTTGGGGCTTTGAATGCTAGACAAGACAGCCTCGGGTGTGATCAGCTGAATATTGTCATGTCAAAAGTCCTGTTCAACAAAGGTCACAGAGATGTGGCTCGCACTGCCCCTTTAAACAGCTCTCCTCCCAGTCTCTCTCACCCCGGTGCTGTCTTTCCCATTTCGCCGCTTTGTTGTCATTGTCGCTCTTTTGACCATGGCTGCTCATTCTATCGATGAACCGTTCCCCTTCCACGGGCTGCTCCCCAAAAAAGAAACCGGTGCTGCGTCCTATCTTACCAGGTTCCCCGAGTACGATGGCCGGGGAGTGCTCATCGCCATCCTCGACACCGGCGTGGATCCCGGGGCCCCCGGCATGCAGGTAAATCTGACGTTAGCTACCAACTAGCTGGCGCAAGCTAGCAATGCTAAAGGCCCGACTCATTCATATTAGTGGTAATTAATACACGGTCACACAACGGCGATAGCTAGTTCGGATAGATTGCTAGCATTGATAGATACACACACACACACACACACCAACTATGACAATTAGCTTCATAGCTGTTATGACAACCAAATAAACACAAAGTAATTGATAGCAAGTACTTTCTCGTGCTGTCAATTTGTGCATCGGTGCACAAACGGCAACTGTAGCTAGCATGTTAGCCTGGCAGCTAACAGCTGCATTTGTCCGTCAATCGCCTCAGTAATTTCAGTTTGTCCTGCCAGTTGGTCACAGTGTGCCCTGTTAATAGTAGCAATATGACCGGTTAGTTGTCGGTTAGTGAGCCGTGACGTTAACTAGTTCATGCTACATGTTTACGTTATTGCCAAGTCACACCGGAATCTAGTAATTTCCATATAGTTACGTGTGTATTTGGCATATCATTACACTAAATTAAGGTCGGTCATCTCATTTAAACCACATGCCCACCTTACTTCAGTGGTGCTTAAAAGGGCAGAATCTGACTCTGACCTCTTCAGTGTGTGTAAACAAATATGTATAAGGAGGGCAATGCTGTTGTAAGGTATTATACGTTTATTCAGCATGGTTTGTACATCATTTACACTCAAGTTGCATCTGTCTACTGCCCTACTTGATCAGGATAAGTTAGTGCTATGCATCCCTTTCCGCCTGAACGTCGTAATTGATTACTTATCACTTTCTTCATTGCTGCTTCTTTAGGTCACAACTGAGGGGAAGCCAAAGATCGTCGACATCATCGATACAACAGGCAGCGGTGACGTGAACATGACCACGGTGGTAGAGCCTAAAGATGGGACAATCGCTGGCCTCTCTGGTAGAACACTTAAGGTCAGTAGACACCCCAAAACCAGTAATAAGACAACCCAAAATGAATGACAGCTGGCCCATAGGAAATGTCCCATCACAGGTATATCGTCCTACATCTGAAATCATTTTTTATTGAATCTCTATGGCCCATTTTTAAATCTAATTATACTATTAGACCTCCACTTTATGGTTCCTTCTTCATATTGTCTGTGTCATTTTATGTCTTCCAGATCCCTCCAGCCTGGGTCAACCCGTCAGGGAAGTATCGCATTGGAGTTAAAAATGGCTATGAGTTCTTCCCTAAGGCTCTCAAAGAAAGGATACAGGTAGGAAGATAGGCCATTATTGCTGAACTAGGTCTGTCATGGGTTTGATTTTTACAACATTGTGGTTTTGCACAGATAGCCTCTTTCCCTTTGCAGTGTTGCTACTTACTATAGGTTTATTCCACATTAGTAAAACAAGAATGTCCGTTAGATAAAATGAATGAAAATCAATTAGCTTTCCATCCTCTGTGGATGTTTTATGTTACTTTTGTTGTGCTTTGGTCTACTAGAAAGAGCGAAAGGAGAAGATGTGGGACCCACCACACCGATCAGCACTAGCTGAGGTCTCTCGTAAGACGGAAGAGTTTGACCTCTCTCACCCAACACCCTCACAGGTCAGATCTACAAACCTGAGTTCTTTGTGAACCCGTTGGTGTTTGCATGCAGTTGCCAGTCACAGCAATGTGGTGTTTCAGAATCTTTCTCTCTCTCTCTCTCTCTACTGTCAATCTCAAATGTACCTTTCCCTCCTGCTTTCTCTCTCCAGATGGAGAAGTTGCAGAAGGAAGAGCTGCAGAGTCAGTCAGAGTTGCTGGCGTCATTGGAAAAGAAGTACAGTGATCCTGGTCCTGTATATGACTGTGTGCTTTGGCACGATGGCGTTACGTGGAGGCAAGCCATAATAACCGTTTTTTCCTTTTCACAAGTGATTTTTAACCTTTCCTCTATGCTGTCTACTTCTGCTCACTATTAGTATGTTTATCCTTCTTGTTTGTTCTCCTTAGGGCTGTAGTCGACACTTCAGAGAGTGGAGAGCTGTCCCAGTGCACGGTGCTTAGCACCTACAAAGAGACGCAAGAGTATGCCACGTTAGGAAACGCTGAGATGCTTAACTACTCTGTTAATATTTACGATGAGGGAAACACACTCTGCATCGTCACCAGTGGAGGTGAGGTGTCCCAAAGCACACATAATCTATCTGTTCAGTGTAACAGTGGGTTATTGCAGGTTCACCTGTTAAGGCTGCATCAGATGTAGAAGTCCACAGTGTCTTCTCCAGTTTAACTTGTTTGTGTGCTTTTTTTTTTTTTTTTTAAAGGGGCTCATGGGACACACGTGGCAAGCATTGCAGCAGGTTACTTCCCAGAGGAGCCTGAGCGTAACGGTGTGGCCCCCGGTGCCCAAATCCTGGCTCTGAAGATCGGAGACACCCGTCTCAGCACCATGGAAACAGGCACAGGACTCATCCGCGCGGTAAATTACAGAGACAAATATAGATTAGCAGTTTGGTTACCCCCCCCACACCCTTTAATTTTTCTTTCTTTCTCCTGTCACTCAAAGATGATTGAAGTCATCAACTACAAGTGTGACCTGGTGAACTATAGCTACGGGGAAGCCACCCACTGGCCCAACACAGGGTAATTATTTCAACAGAGGGTGTGATTGATGCCGAGTGGTTGTCTGCTGTAGCAAGGACGAGACAGAGTGAGCACAGGGGCCAGCATTCATAGCTCAAGGGCCTCATCATCTGACCCTCCCATGTCAGCCAGTTAGTCAGGACAGTGGGAGGGGCGTCACAACGCTGTCTGATTTTTAAAGTCCATTTGTCTTTCAGGAGGATTTGTGAGGTGATCACCGAGGCTGTGCAGAAGCACAATGTCATATTCGTCTCAAGTGCAGGAAACAACGGCCCGTGCCTGTCCACTGTCGGCTGCCCGGGGGGAACCACCGGCACTGTCATAGGTACATATGCTGATGAAACCTCCAATCAAGTGCTCATCATTTAAGTCTACACCTTCAGACTGCATGTAACCCAAGGTGTAAAAAAAAAAAAAAAAAAAAGGCAAAACAACAATATATTCATTATGTACAACACCAACATTTTCTGGAAAACGGCTGTATGGTCACACTGGGTCATTAACAGACATAGTTATTAGTTAATGATTGATCACTGCTTGTTTAAGTCAAGATGGCTGTGCAGTTTTTATTTTTCACAACAGGAAAGCTATAAAAACACTTCAGCTGTAGGAATCTTTGGTTGTCGTTGTGCCGTTAACATAATTATCCGTATGTTTTGTCATACCGTATGTTTTTTCTTTACATCCTGCTCCCTTCTCTCTGTAGGAGTTGGAGCATACGTGACTCCAGATATGATGGTGGCAGAGTATTCCCTGAGGGAGAAGCTGCCTGCCAATCAGTACACCTGGTCGTCCAGGGGCCCCAGCACAGACGGGGCCCTGGGTGTCAGCATCAGCGCGCCTGGCGGGGCCATTGCCTCTGTACCCAACTGGACTCTGCGTGGTACCCAGCTGATGAACGGCACGTCCATGTCCTCTCCTAACGCCTGTGGCGGCATCGCGCTGATCCTCTCCGGTGCGTCTGACAGACTTATACTAGACATGGGAATATACTGCATGTATGGAAGTGCAAATCTGATTCTAGTCGCTGATTTTTAAAGGACTGAAGCAGAGCGGGATACGGCCCTCTGTTCCTGTGGTGAGGAGAGCGCTGGAGCACACCGCTCTGAAGATTGATGACATCGAGGTGTTTGCACAGGGTCATGGAATAATCCAGGTAACTCTTAGTTTAGCATGTTCCATCACTCTTATTTAGCCCTTTCTTTACATGTTTTTGTGTGCCATCCAGTAATCTACTCCCTTTCTTCGTCTCAGGTGGACAAGGCGTTGGACTACCTCACTCAACACGCCACTTTACCCACAAGCCAACTTGGCTTCTCAGTGAGTGTGGGATCACAGAGAGGCATCTACCTCAGGGACCCAGCCCATATTGTTGCACCCTCAGATCACGGAGTAGGAATTGAACCCATGTTTCCGGAAAACACCGGTACTGTTCATACAGTTCAAGCACAATCATTTACAGCTTTTCAATTAAGTGTTAACAAGTATTTATTTATTTTTTTTTTTAAATCTTTGACACCATCTGTCTTCTTTTAACGTCCACCGCAGGAAACTCTGAGCGAATCTCTTTGCAGCTACACTTGGCGCTCACATGTGCCGCCCCGTGGGTCCAGTGCCCCTCCCACCTGGAGCTGATGAACCAGTGTCGTCACGTGAATGTCCGCATCGATCCTGTGGGACTGAGAGAGGGAGTGCACTACACAGAGGTAGGGACAGGAAAGGGAGAAGGACGAAAAAGATTAGTTTCCGAGTCTACTAATGTTAATCTGGTCACTTTGAACATGTGCTTTTTTGTTTTTAGGTCTGTGGGTACGATACATCAACACCTAGCTGTGCCCCCCTCTTCAGAGTCCCAATCACAGTCATTATCCCCGCCAAGTAAGCTCTTACGTCATATTGGCTTTGTTATTTTCTGTCACTCTTCCAAGAGGTTTAAATGTGTTTGACGGCGCTCTCTCCTTCATCCGACAGAGTGACAGACAGTCGTAATCAGGAGGTTTGTTTCACAGACGTCCACTTCCGACCAGGCCAGATCAGACGCCACTTCATCACTGTTCCTCAGGGAGCCTCCTGGGCAGGTCAGTACATTGTGTGATTGAGGAGCTACTTTGCATTTTACATTCGATTTTAAATTGGACTCGGTTATTAGTTAAGTGCATTCGCACTTTGGTTCCCCTTGTTGTAAAAATGCTGCCTTGGTGACTGAGAGTGTCACTGTCAAATTGATTTATTGTTCATAAGAAGTTTAATATAGCATGTGGGGAAACATTCAAATCCCTCAGCGTTATCATAACCACAAGTCAAGTAAGAGAGATGTGACTTGAAATTACTTTCCATGTCTTTTCTTCTTGTCCTCCTCTTGTCATCGTCTACATTCCCTCTCCTCCTTGCTCTGCTGTTTCTCACCTCTCTGTCCCCGTGTGTCTCCTGCAGAGATCACACTGACCTCTCATTCGGGAGACGTGTCGTCAAAGTTTGTCCTCCATGCGGTGCACCTGGTCAAACAGAAAGCGTACAGAGCTAATGAATTCTACAAGTTTTCCTCGCTGTTGGAAAGAGGCTCACTAACCGAGGCTTTCCCTGTGCTGGTACGTATATTTTATTTTTTATATACGCTGAATTGACTGGGATTTTGCACATAAGTAATTCTGTGTGTGTGTGTGTGTGTGTGTGTGTGTGTGTGTGTGTGTGTATATATATCTATCTATCTATCCATACATACATACATACATACATACACCGGAGTCAGCTTTAAATATAGAAATGGAATGGAAGTCACTTAATTTCTTAGATGCATACATTTGAAAAATATAAATAACATAAGGGTGGACTAATTTCTGCATGTTCCTTGCCTCCTCTCCAGTCAGGAAGGATAGTGGAGCTGTGCATTGCACGCTGGTGGGCGAGCCTGGGTGATGTCACAGTGGACTACAGCATCTCGTTCCATGGACTCACCACTTCCCCTTCACCCATGCACATAGTGAGAAGACAACAGTCTTATAGACTAGCAACACGTAAACGTCATCCGAGACGGTGTCGCTTCTCTGTTGGTAACTGTCATTTGTCTCTGCGCAGCATGCCTCAGAGGGAGTGACGAGTTTCGATGTGTCGTCGCCGCTGAGGTATGAGGAGGTGTCCCCCGCCATCACCCTCAAGTCTTGGGTTCAGCCTCTCAGGTAACTGCACAGACAGACACACACACACTCACACTCACACATCAGTGCAGTTCATTGATTCATCCTCGTTGTTCTAGGCCCTTAAATTCAAAGATAAAAGCCCTGGGATTGAGGGACGTTCTGCCCAACAACAGACAACTCTACGAGATTGTCCTCACCTACAGCTTTCACCAGGTAATGCCAACATCGGCCGCACTTGAGAGGAAAATGCTGATATTTTGTTTTCCATCTATGTATAATCTTCTTTTGCTCTGTCCTCAGCCTAAGAGTGGAGAGGTCACCCCCAGCTGTCCCATGCTGTGTGAGCTGCTGTATGAGTCTGAGTTTGACAGTCAGCTCTGGATGCTGTTTGATCAGAACAAGAGGCTACTGGGCTCCGGGGACGCTTATCCACACCAGGTACGCTTAGCTCGCCCCCAACATAACATCCTTTTTCTTTGCCAGATGTTGTTACGCATTTAACACGACTCCCTTCCGTCTGTGTTACTTCTTCAGTATTCTCTGAAGCTGGAAAAGGGGGACTACACGGTGCGCCTGCAGGTCCGCCACGAGCAGTCCAGCGAACTGGAGCGCCTTAAGGACCTACCGTTTGTGGTTTCTCACCGTCTGTCCACCACGCTCAGTCTAGATGTGTACGAGTCGCACCGCGCCGCCCTCATGGCCAAGAAGAAGGCCAACTCTGTCACCTTGTGCCCAGGTGCCACGCAACCCTTCTATGTCACAGCCCTGCCGGACGACAAGTGAGTCGATTTGGCGAGGGACGTTTCATTTGTCACCCACAACAAAAAAAAAAAAAGATGCTTTCTCAATAATCTGTCAGCTAAACATGATTGGTATGATTGCTGCCTGATCAAAGAACAGCAGAAACATGATTCAATTTAGTTTAATGTTCTCGTCTTTCTCTCTTTTTGTTTCTCTCTGTTTTTCCCAGGATCCCAAAGGGGACGAGTCCGGGATGCTATCTTTCTGGCTCTCTGGTTGTTTCCAAGAGCGAGTATGGCAAGAAAGCAGTGAGTGGCCTTATTTGTTGTTACCCTCTATCCTCCAGAGCAACAGTCAGTCCTGCTCCTCGGGATCTAAAGTCATGGTAGTTTTCATTCTCCTCCTCTAATGAGGGAATCTTTCACATTATGTGAACACATAACAAACTACAATATATCTGTTTATGTTGACCAGTGTGCTAATCCTTTAGTCTGACCTGATTAATGATGAAAATATGACATTTTACACATTTGACATGTGATGTACTTGTTGTCCTGAGGATCAGGAGTGAATCGGGGCATAATGACTTGAGTTACCCGACAGTTGTAGATACCTCAGGCCACTGATGCATTTCGGTAGGTATTCCAAGAAAACAAGTCCAGATGTTCACATGTTTACTTCAGAGGGACCTAAATCACATTCATTATCAGCACAGCTAGTGTGTGCTGCTTCCTTTCCTAAATTGACTTAAGTGAAATATTTATTTAAGGGGAATAGTATTGTAATACTCACTGGGATTTGTGCAGTAATACGGCAAATGTTTCATTTCTGTAGCTTCTTCTCACTGTCTCTGTGGGCTGTAGGTGTTCCTCTTTTCACCACTAGAGGGTTGTTTCTTCGCATGCGTCCCAATACATGTGTTTTAACAGCTCTGTGTGTCTTTGGCTGAACCTGCCGGACTCAGCAGCTCTAATGCTTCTTCTTGTCAAACTTCAGCACCGATTTATATATGAATGTTTTTGTTCAATGTTGTTCATATTGTTTCACGTTGCATTCCTGAAGGATGTTTGTTGTTTGAGTCTCACATGCACATGAATACTTTTACTGTCTTCAAGTCAAAGATTGACTGTGAAACACATCATATTTTACTGTAGGTTTCAGTTCTGAGTGAAGATGCAGAGCAGAAGTAGTACAAACCAGTCCATCAGATTTGTTAAGATATAAATCTGAGCTTGGATTACAGCACTGTTTACCACCCTAAGCATTGATTAAAGTGTGACAGGTAGGTGGATTAAACTGTGACTCAGAGTGAGGATGAAAGATAACAGAAAGAGAGAATCCTTTTTGGTGTGTTGATGTTGTCTCTTCCTTACTGTGTGTTATTCTGACCACCAGGGGCAGGCCTCTGCAAAACGACAAGGGAAGTTTAAAAAGGTACTGGATGAGCTAGAAACACTGTACAACAGAGCAACTGCTCTCCTACCATCAGGAAACGGCTTATTCCTTACCTTCAGATGGGATTTGTCGTATCTTCATTAATTAATTATGTGGACGCATGTCATCATTGCTGTATTGAAGTATGCAACTGGCTAGTCGTAATGGTATTTCATTTTGATATAAAGTTTTCTGGTGGTCAGTTAAAATAATCTAATATCAATAAATATCAAGATCAATTGATAATGAGCACCAATTAAAGCTTGTGTGACTATTGAAAGGCATTTTTTAAAACTGATTTAAAAAAGATAACCAGAACACGTTGGGGGTCTTGGGACATTGGTAGGAAGAGAGAGAGAATTTGGGATGCTGATCCAGAGTAGTAGAAGAGGTCATGGATTTTATTGAATGTATTAGTTATTCTCTTTTGACTAACTTATGTATATGTTTTTGTATTCATACAGGATATCGTGCCAGTCGTCTACCACTTAATTCCTGCTCCCAACAAATCAAAGAATGGAGGGAAGGAGAAGGACAAGGAGGGGGACAAGGAGAAGGACGTGAAGGAGGAGTTTTCTGAAGCTATGAGAGACTTAAAGATTCAGTGGATGACAAAGTGTGCACAGTAGCTCTTTTGTTTTTGCTCATCCACACCTTTTTTTTTTTTTTTAAATTATTTAATTTCTCATTTAACCGTTTGTCCTGTTCTCTCTTTTGCTGTTCAGGTTGGACTCTAGCACCATCTACGACGAGCTGAGGGAGAACTACCTCGATTACCTCCCGCTGCATGTGCAAAGACTGCACCAGCTGGACTCTGAAAAGGTGACGGTGCACATACCAGGAAGAGACGAGGGGGGCTTGTGGAGGAAGCTCTGGCGGGAGCATTTAATTATTCAGCTCTAGAAGTTTGAGTCTGCTCACTGCTCTTTCTCCGCCCTCTGTTTGATTCCCAGGAGCGTGTAAAACGTCTCAGAGAGGTGGCATCGGCAGCCGAAATCGTCATATCCCACATCGACCAGACGGCCCTGGCTGTTTACCTCACCATGAAGACGGACCCTCGGCCCGATGCCGCCTCTATCAAGACGTACGTCGCACACAGTAGCGTCAATAGGAGAAATATGAACATTGTTAGGGTTCTTCATCAAGGCATACTCAATTGATGGTAAAGAGGCAGAGGAGGAGATAACATTGGTTAACCACACAAAAAAAGTAAATTACAGTACTTTACTGCATTGAACATGACAGACTTGGGATATTTACCAATTTTACAATATCTGCAGTTATGTTTTCGGTAAATCTATCAAGTGTGGAGCATGACCCATAGATACAGTAGAAATAGTTTAGCCGAGGCGGTAAGGCACTAAGATCCCGACACATCTCACCTCATGATAACAATAAGCAACACTGTGTAGCTTTTGAAAGAAGAACTAGCAGAGGAAAAGTTGAATTAATAAGCGATAAACACATCATTTTATTCAATGCACTCTATGGGTTTTGTTGGTACAGCCTCTCTTGGTAGTCTGGTGTGACCAGTAGCTAATGTTAGCAAAACTTATGATGAGCATTGCTGTGTAACTGACATTTGTGAGTTTGTTTACTGTCGCATCACATTTTAGCATTTACCACATCCAGTAATTGTTACATGTGTCCAGTGTTCAGCAAAAGTTACATTCCAGCGGCCTCGCTTTACATAAATGGTATTTGTCGTGTGAAATAGTGCCGCTGGTCTTTTTCCTTAGGGCTTCCCTTTTAATTTCATATAAGTGTATTGATTATTTTAAGATGTCGGGTGAAGGGGTCTTTGTTTCCACTGTAAAACACTGTGAGACCCCGAGTAGATCCTCCCAACTACAATGTGGTGAAGCTCGAGGCCTTAATTCTGACCGGTTCTTTTAACGTCGGTGTTTCAGCGACATGGAGAAGCAGAAGTCGTCCCTGCTGGACGCTCTGTGCAGGAAGGGCTGCGCGCTGGCCGACCAGCTGCTGCTGCCCGACCAGCTGCTGTTGCCCCCTGTGCAGCAAGACGGCGTCGGTGCCGTCTCCACGGGACCACCACCACCAGCAGCAGAAGAGGGGGAGGAGGAGGAGGTGGTGGTTGGAGAACAGGTGGCCAGCAGTTCTGACGACACCATGCACAGCATGGTTAAAGCTCTGACAGATACGTTTTGGGAGGTGCAGAAGTGGGCGGAGCTAACTGACTCCAAGGTGAGCCAGATGTTTTTAGAAAATGAAGGAAGGCCAAAGTCCGTTACTCGGTGTTCTGATGTGAATTTATCTGCCGCGTGAGATTGGAAAAGCAACAATGTGTCCATCTATCAAGCTAGCTACTTTTGTATGCATTCAATAAATGTTGAGTTAATATTTTTTTTTGTTTTTTTTCCACGGCTCAGGTGTTGATGTTTTCATACAAACACGCTCTTGTGAACAAGATGTACGGCCGAGCCTTAAAATACGCCTCGAAGATGGTGGAGGAGAAGCCCAGCAAAGACAACATGAAGAACTGCATCCAGGTATGAGAGCGCCAACGGATCTCTTCCAGATATTTTCAGCTGCATACTCTCCAAAGACGAATGTCCGCCTGCTTCCCTTTGAATCACTTCCTGTTCATTTTGTCTTCCAGCTCATGCAACACCTCCAATGGACACACTGTGCCACCTTCAGTGAGAACTGGCTCCCTGTCATGTACCCCGCAGAATACACGCCATTCTAGGCACAGACGCACATACATGCATGCATGAGCAGCATGGCCATACATGGTTGTTGGATATCATGTCCCTCAGGGTCACATGATCTATGCATCTGGGTTTTCAAGTTTAGATGTGGGTGGACACCAAAATGAAGGATAACGCCGAGTGTAAATGTTTGGAGAGACTGAACACCTTTATAGTTAGGTGAGAATGGATCGTGTTCGTCCTGTTTTTAAAATGTCTTGTTGAACGTCACAGATCTGCAGACCATGTGGCACGACGGTTCATTTGAACGCCACCGACAGAAAAACAACAAATAATTATTTTTACGTTTTTAAAATGCTTCAGACGTTTGACAGCCTGTAGCTCAGAACTTTCTTAGTTGTGTGTTGTCCCTTATTTTGGTGTCCTCTACACATTTTGGAGCTTTTCACATCCTCAGCTGTCTGGACTCCACTTCACAATAACCTCATTCTTTTGTGTAAATACTGTAAAAGGGCCAGTGTGGACTCTAGGGACGCGTCCCTAGTCCTAAAAAAACAAAAGAAACTGACCCCATCTACTCACACAAACAAATCAACATAAGTGAGCGCTACGTTACTTCAGTGAGAGGACTGGAGGCCTTGCTGCTGCATGATGTTCGGACATACGGGGGCACGCACAGTCTGCCTGGTCCCTGACTTAAAAGGGAGACGGAACTTGCTATCTTTTTTTTCGATTGTTCCAGCCAGGCCTGGCTGATAATGTTAATATTTAGTCTCGTCTGTCTTTTTGGACTCTTGATTCATGTACACAGAACACAAAACAGTATTGAGGTGCCTTCCTCCATGTACCGTACCTTTTTTCTGATGGGATGAGAAGCAGTGCGAGGCTCCAGAATCATTACAGCCAGTCTGCACTCTTCACCGTTGGTGTCAAATGTGTCTTTAAGGCTCAGACCTGCAGTATGACGAGCCCGTGCACTGTATGCAGGCCGTGGGTGACGCGTAAGGTAATAGGAAGCCACAAACGCACTGGCTCTGCTTCGGCTTACCTCCAGAGGTGTTGGCCGCTCCATACTGCAGTGACCCGAGCAGCACGTTTGACGAGCCATCTTAACAGACCTCACGAACGTGAGAGAGGACGTTGTGGGCAGCGGAAGGATGTTCAGATTTCATTGTACAATGTTCACTCCGTCTTAGATGTTTCTCTGCACCATTCAAAATGTTGCATTTGTACACAGTGTCATAAAATGATGTACATACACGCATAACATACAAATATTAAGAAGCAATAGGAATATAATAGAATTATTATTCAAATTGATGTATTTTGCATATATGCATGTCTTCTAGGATTTAAGGAAAAATGGATTTCTTTGTTTCAATTTGAGAGATTGTTTTTTAACCCAAAACAAGATTCTGGTGATAATCCACGAGTGTGTTTGTGAATGACTTACCGTGTTACTTGTGAGCATATTGTGTACATGAACATTTGCTCCCTACAGAACTGAAACGATGGCCAACTAGAGGGGTTTAAGCATGATCTAGTTTATTTACCATATTAACCTTATTTCATTTAAAGGACCATGCCGGTGCTTTTGTATGTTTTATCTAATTGTCTACAAATCCCATACTTTACATCACAGCTAACATGTTTTAGAATTATTTTAATGGAGTTTTCCAGGCAACTGTTCAACATATTAGACTTTAAAACGTCCACAGTGAACACCAAGTCTGCATTAAAAGCCCTTAGAACTACATTTCTCAATCTTTTTACTATAAGTGATTGGGTTCTACATGAACACGCAATGTTTTGGGAAAAGTTGGAGCAGTTTTCATTATTTCTCATGAGCGATTTGTGTTTGTGTTGTTTCTCTGGGTTGAGGTGGTGCAGGCTTATTTCTATCAAAACGAGATGATGGCTGTATGTTTACGTTGCCACTGTTGATTCACACCCACAGTCTTAATGAAGCTCGTTAGCTCAGTAGTTGAAAGTCGGTCTCTTCATAAACGATAACTGAAAAGTTTGATTTGTGATTGTGTAGTTATGAATAGAAAATCAATGCAGTCTTGATGTTCACTTTGCTGAATTGTACAACTTGAAAGAGCACTTCACCAATTTAAAATGTACTCATATCGCAGGGCGAAAGAAAAATCAATGCAGCAGAACCAGAAATATCTGGTGATATTTCTTTAGTCTTCGGTCCCAACTGACAAGACAGTTTATCAGACTCGTTGCAGCTCTGGAGCCACAAAAACCTTTATACACATACGCAACAGTAGCATTGTCTGTTAACTTTCAGGTTTACATGATTTGATCTAAAATGTGCAAAAACACTGGCGTGGACCTTTTTTATAATATCTCACCTGAGTCATATAACAAATGACATGGGGCTGGTTGTTTTCACAGTGCGAATGAGGACCATGCTAAAGATACAAACTACATATTAACTATTTATAATTGTGATTCTCAACCTTTTCCGCTTGTTCTGTAAAACAAGTTTGATCCGTAGTTTAACCAAAGGATTGTCCCACACTAAGTTAGTTTAGAGAAGCACGAAGGCTGAACATTATAAAAATTAATTATCACAATATTGAGTAGAAGAAATAGATTTGCCCTCAAACCACCCAGTTTGAGAACCACTGGTCTTCTACATGTAACAGCTCAAAATGATGTGCTAAGACCTCACAAGTGGAAGGTGCATGCTTAAGAATGTAAAAGCAGCTGCTTTTAAGCCGAGGCCTTTCGGCCTCACAGGAGTAGACAATCTTTTCTGGGGTGACTGTAAACTACATACACAGCGAATCCGTGGTCAAGGTTCATGTCGACCCTGGGGTAAGGATACCTTGTGTTTCTGTTTTTAGCTCTGACTTGCACGCACTTTCTGCAGCAGCCTCTGCATATAGGCTTCTCCGGATATTCAGGGCTGTACTGGAATCAGTTGGGTTCGTCAGAATTTGTGCTCACCGTCTTTTCTTTCTGCATCTTCTGTGTACTCGTGCGTCTTCGTCCTTGTTTCTCCTCTTGTCCTGCGTTTGGGGTTTGGTTTAGGCAGATGTCTGCAGTAAGCGTTGCCAATAACAGTTTCTCCAAAAATGGCCTTAACTCACCACAGGACTGTACAGTCCGTTTCTGGCACCGGACAGACTTCTCGATATCTGTTGCTTCTTCTGGATGTTCAGTGTTTATATTTGTAGTCATAAAATCTAGTAAATGCCAATATTTTACAAAATGTTATGAGATAAGGCTCTTAGTATTATTTTATACCCATTCTTCCTCGATGAGGTGGGAAAGACCCGAACTGTCACACTATTTGGTGGTCACATGGAATTACGTCACAAACAAGGAAAACAACACTGAATAAAAATGATTTGGAAGAATTTGCTTTTTTCTGGTCTTCGAGTGAATGTTCTACCCTTCATTGCTTCATTTTACTCTGCATTTGTAATAGCTGGGCAAGAGTCGGTCCAGAAATGACGAAGTAAAGAACAAGAAGAAGTTGAACAGGTTTTTCTTTTTACTGAATTAAACAACAGAAAAATACAATTCATATGCCAACACAAACAGGACATTTCAGTTAGTGGTGAAGACAGTCCCAGCCTTTTCTCTGCCTTACACTTTTTCAAAAAACAATCTTATTTTCTCAATTAAACTCAATTGTTTTGTCTCGAAAATGTCTAAATAGATGTCCTGTCAATCAATTAACTGACTAATTATTTCAACTCCACAGGGAGACAATTAATTTGATTCCAACTAACTTTTCTTGGACCTTATGTAACAGGTTTGATAGCAGGCTAAATATGGTGCCTTATAATGTAGGACATATGGTCTTAGACCTCAATGACAGTGTCCAGACAGATCAGAGTGGGATATTTACAAAATAGTATCGGAAAGCAGCAACGATCACTGCTGTATTGTGTGATTGAAATAATACAACCCATAATTGTCTAACTCCCTGTCTAGACACCAAAGGGCTGTAAGGCGTCGTTCAAAAAAGAAAAAAAACTCAAAAACAAGACGCACTTATTGTAAGTCGCTTTGGATAAAAGCGTCTGCTAAATGACTGTAATGTAATGCAATGTATGCAGACTAAAAGTCGTCATATAAGGCATTTCATTCAATCGTGCCTAAAAATAAGTTTAACTCACCACGTGTAGTAGCGGCGAGGCACTGCAACTGTACTGGTCGTTCCGTTAGCAGTTAGCCAAACACACTGCAAACTGCCCCCCCACCCCACCCACACTCTTGGTGCAGAGTAGCGGACAGGGGGTCGGAGTTGCACTCAGCTATGTTACCACCAGCGGCCCCTACCGGCCAGGGCTGGTTAGTAGTAAGTGAGGAGTCAGCAGGTAGTCAATGGCAGAATAAAACAGGCTATAAAAGGTGTTTTGAGAAAGTGCTAGTCACTGCAACCACAAGAAGTCCTTGAGCACCCAGCCATAACTGATATAATGCAGTTTGCTGCAGCATAATGTGAGATTAGCTGTGGACAGACACAGAGGTGCACACTCACTCACAGAACTACACACATGCACACACGCGACCGATCGCATTATCCTCCTGGCAGAGATAATTATAATTAGCTTTCCAAAGCGTGGCGTTAATAAGACTTTAAACACTTAAAACAGAGGCGCTGACTAAGAGCCCCCTGGGCCTGTAGGGCCTGTTGAGTTATCCATCCATATCTTTTCTGTCTCTCACTCTCTACACGTTGCCATGAAGATCTTCATCTCTCCGTCTTCAGCGAGCAGACTTGTGTGAAAAGCATTTTTAAAGTTCTCGGTGAAAGTCAGATCGGTCTCAAACCTCACCTTGTTGGCCCAGATCACAGTCGTTCCTGGTTTGCAGAAATGCTTCATGGTGACCAGGAGCTCATCCAGGAAGTCGTGATGATAGACCACGTCAGCTGCCAGCACGTAGTCATACCGGTAGACTGATGTAGGGTAGGTGCTCTCCAGGTCATGGCCCCAGGACAGAGCTGCCACCTGGGGAGTGTATCTGCAATGCTCCGTGGTGTTCCTCATCACATTGGCCCGGAGGTTACCCAACACGTCAGGCAAGTCTGTAGCTGTGACTGAAGCTCCTGAGGAAAACAGGACATCTGACATCAAAATAGCTACAATAACAGTAAAAAAAAAAAACATACTGGCGACCTTTAAGGAGTTTGTTGTGTGCAAATGCAGTTTAAGCAACGAAAGTTCATTATTTGTTTCGGCTCTGGTGGGGAATTCATCCAAAGACATACTTTTGTGCTGCACATGGTAACAACATCAAGCAATAGTTCCGATACAGTATGTGTGTGATTTGTGTCAAAGCTTGTGCATCATGTCATGGGTTACTTTTACTAACTTTTCCCAAAAATTGCTGATGATTTTTGTGTTTGTGCTCATTGTGTGAATTAAACTGGAGACCGCTTACCCAGCAGACTGGCCACAATGGTTACCAGTCCAGTTCCTGCTCCCAGCTCCAGAACCACCTTTTCCTGCAGGTTCACCTTCTTCCTGTTGTTGTCCAGGAAGGAGCACAAAGCCAACGCCTGTAGGGCAAAGACATACACATCTCTTATAAGATGTGCGTGTGAAGAAAAACAGTAGAAAACTGTAATGATGTTTTCAGAGGCACTCACTGCTGGCCACATCACTGCTCCATAGGAGTCTATGGACTCGTGAATAACAATGTCGTGTCCTGTGTAATGGTAGACATCCCTACCAATGCGACTGTTGATGCCGGGAACCCAGGCTGGAGGTCTGACCTGCTGTTCTGATGTGTAGAGAGGATGAATCAAGACTTTAACAGAGGGGAACTTCCAGTCAGATTCAAAAGCAATGAAGACAAAAATACAAATACATCATGAACACACAATGCCACGATATACAAGTCAAGCACAAGTTAAAAAGAAAATCTGATGAGCCCATAGCGTGATATGATGCAATGAAAAAATGCTCATCAAACGGGTTCAGACACACTACACCGGTGGACAGAGTGCATCAGCCTCTGATTACACCGACGACAGTTGGTGATAATGTTGGCTTCACACTTTGGTTTTACCACGTGTGTCACATCTCAAGCCTCAGATGTTGTTCTTGCCACTAATCTTGCCAGATTATATAAAAGTTCCAAAGCTGTTTTTTTTACTAAAGAGTACGCTGCCAAACCCTAGGACAACCCTACAAGTAATTTTCATTCGTATTATACGGTATTTTTTTGCATATTAAAAAGGTTGGTTGCCCTTGTCACGACCTGTCTATGAGGCCATGAGACTAGATAGGTAGACAGACAGTTGGCAAAAGTAAGCAGTTTATTAAACATAATGCAACATCGAACTCGGGGTGGTGGTGGAGAACGACCGCCTTGTTGCTCCACGGGGTGAAAAGAGAGCACCCTGAATGAAAGAGTCAAAAGCCCCCATGACTCAGCATTGGTAGGGACACTTTAATGACAACACCAAAATTAAAATATATATTTTTTTCTTCTTTTTTTTTTTAATGCCAAATTATTTGGTTGATATTATGTTGAACAGGCAAACTTTATTAAAATATATTAACATTTGTGTAATTTGGAACAGATTTAAACATAATAACAGTAACAAAACCTTAGTTTAAATACAAAACAGTATTCTGCACCAAATAAATAATAATAAATAAATTAATAAACGAAAATGTACATTAAGCATCAAAACGTTCTGCTAAAATGCCAATATACAGTAACAGTATATTCTATATCCAAAATATATATTAAAAACTTTTCCCAGTTTTCCTTAGTTGTCAGTTATAATCATCAAAATTAAAAGAAATAAACATTTGAAATATATCAGTCTGTGTGTAATGAATGAATATAATAGACAAGTTTCACTTTTTGAATGGAATTAGTGAAATAAATCAACTTTTTGATGATATTCTAATTATATGACTAGCACCTGTATACATATAAGCAGAGGAAAAGTGAAGATATTTTCAGACATGTATTTTTGGATTGGATATTTTATGGGTTTTATTTTTTTTATAGATACACTTTTAAATGATAACAAAACGGATGATTTATTTTCATTATTTTAGCCGATTGTTGTAAATGACTATAAAAGTAATAATTTGGAAAGAGTGTATTATGTTCCCTTTTGTTGCAAAACCAGCAAAATCATACTTAAATAAAATGAATGAGAAACAAAAAAGTACAACGTAATTACTCTAAGGATGCATACAGAGAACGGGTGGCTCCGGTGACTCAACTAAAATCATAAAAGTGATTTACGGAAGCTGACCTGTTGTAACAACAACGTGTGTTCTCAGGAAATGTGGCTCCGCCCCCTCAGCTTCTTGACGGGTGCCGAACTAGTACCGCTCGCCTGCCACAGCTGACGCTTGCCGCTGAAGTGCCACAGAGAGTGCCGCGGAGTGCCACACCCACAGAGGTGCCAGTGCCACAGAGGTGCCAGTGCCACAAGAAGGATCTCGGCCCTGCACGAGAGACGGATCTCGGCCCTGCACGCATTTTTAGGCTGAAGTTTCAACCAATGACAGTGGACCTTCAAGTGTCCCCGTTTGTAACAATAACTACAAACTGTTTCTGCATTACGCAGATTACTACTGCCTTTAACTGGAAACATTTTAGCATGCCGGCCCAATGACTCCCCGCCACCGGCAGCACCAATGTCTCTGTTACCATTACCAGCCCTGTGATCTCCAAATCCGCCTCCGTGCGTAATCGTCAGCGAGTGCTGCTGCAGCCGCGTTTGTTACCTTCTGCTCACTGATGTACGCAGCAAGGCGCACAGGAACTGAGTTTTTAAACTGCTCTAGACCACAAGTTCACACAATTGATCAAAGTCATGAAATGAGTAGTCAGATCACGCACTAACTCCCAGATGACTCTCCTTTGTTTCAAGTTCCTAAATCGTTGCTGGTAGGCATCCGGAACCAACTCATTAATAACGCTGCCTTCACAGAGGACTATTTTTGACTATCAGTTAACGAGGAGTATATGCCTCCTGCGCTCTCCCAGTCAGCATGCACTGCAGCATCAGCGTGCGCGCGGAATCTGGCCAATTACGCGCGTCAGCCACACGCTCAAACAACGACAAAAACAACTCCGGATCTTTTTCCGAAAATTTTGGCAATAGCCTTCAGTTACCCAAAACATCAAAACCATCCCCAGATTGCTCTGAAAAAGACGACTTCCTACTAAACTCACCAACAGCTTGCTTATTTAATGTCTCCATGTCCAATTTGGCATTTTCAGTCTGCTGGTGCAGCCTCCACAGCCAATTCTTTCAACAGTTCTGCTTGTGGGCAAGTTGTAACATGAGTAACTATTTTTGCGGTTCAAAGGTTAAACTAGATCCCGTTTGGGGCGGAGACCCTGCGGCATCCTGGAAAACAGCTGATGGATTCTCGGTCAAAACACTCTTTTCAAATAAATTGGATTTAAAAATGGCCTTCACTCTCCTATAGACGTTTATCATCAATATCGATTTCATAATATTCTGCTATTTTCAGCAGTTGCTCTTTAGTGCAGATATCTAAATACTTCTCGGAGGGAGAAGCAAAGAAGTTCTCAACACTCCATATTTAAGTGTGCATGAAATCAATGAAACGAATAGTGAAGGCTACTGGTGCACAAACCACATACTATGGCCTAATCAGCATATGCGCCCCTCTAGCTGACTGCCCAACCATAATCTACCTACATACAAACTCAACCCTAGTCTTCATGCAGTTACTGGTAGTGGGTAATTACGCACTAAAGCCCAGTGGCAAGGGAAAGCAACCAGAAACTGGCGACTTACCCTGAACCATGGATGTACTCCTGAGCAAGATTGCTCTAAAGACGGCCACCGCAACACTAACAACAAAAAAAACAAGACGAAACCCAAAAGGGTAACGCCACTGAGCCTGACGGAGGAACGTTTGCATCAAAGTTACAGCAGCCAGACAACACGTACCTTACATCGATTTACAATTTTCACACCGAGACGAGAAAAAAAACTACTACCATTCGCAAAACAAACCTAATCTATATGCCGAAAATAATTACAAACTACTGCATCTCCCAAACAAACGCACCTGTTTCCCACTATAAGACCCACAGAGGAATTACGCACGCCGGACAGCGCTACAGGGAATCCAGGGAAACCCCACTTACAATTTAGTGACGTCAACTATGATGTACATTTACAGACAAGCATGTGCAGTAGCAATATTCAAACAAACCAACAAAGCTACATACCCATTACCGCAAAACGGATTAATATCGATCCCGGACGAGCACCCAACTTGTTGCGACCTGGTTCTGAGGCAATGACACTAGATAGGGAGACGGAGACGGTTGGTAAGAGTAAGCAGTTTATTAAACATAATACGACATCGAACTCGGGGGGGGGGGGGGGGAAGAACGACCGCCTCGTTGCTCCACGGGGTGAAAAGAGAGCGCTCTCGTTGCCAGAAAGGTGGAGCTTTATAACTGGAGACACCGGGCCCAGGTGTCTCCATTTAGGGCGATTACCACCTTAAATAAACATATAAAGACAAGTATAGAAGGTAGGGAACCGTCACACCCTAGATGTATTTCCTCACTTATAGTAACTTAGTGATATCTAGCAAATCAGATATTTTCGAGTTTATTTGTGCAGGTTTTGATTTTTGCTGCCTTAATAACACAATAAAGATTAGTGGAATTGTGTTTTGCATCAAAACTAATTCCATTAAAAATAATAATGTAAGTCTGCAGCTATGCTAACAGCTCTGTGAGGCCTATAGTCACAGCACCGATCTCTGTCCCTTGTACTTCACACTCCTCATGTCTTCCATGTCCCCGGCTTGTCTTTGTGTGTGTGTGTTTGTGTATCTCTTCCTGTCCTGTGGACAACCTGGGCCAAGTCTACCTTCAATCTGCTCATCACCTCCCTCAGCTCACACAGATAAGTGTGCATTTTCACAGCTCACGTAGATGACTCACCTGTTACCTTTTCCTCACTGCCTGTCTCTTCATCCTCTTCATCCTCTTCATAGCCGTCGTCATTAAGGACCATCATCTCCTCCATCTCTTCCTCCCAATCAGACTCATGCTTGTTTTTTTCCTCCTTGTCATCTCCTCTCACCACATGAGGTTCTTCTGCTACTGTTAGAAAAATTCACTCGAGACTGGTGTAAAAATCATTAATCAATGGACATTTATTCTTTGCAAAGGAGACAGAGTTGATTCACATACAGAATGTACATCAAGACTGCTCGAAGATCTGCCTCCGAGTCTCTGATATTTATACTAAGTAAACAACATGCAGTGGGCTGGCACAGGGTAACACACACACATTTTGCGTTTCACACAGGCGTCTACATATCTGGACACTTTAACAATTCGTTCTAGTACAAAGGTCACTTTCTCGTAAATCATGGTCGCAAATCAGCCCTGCGTAAGTATTGATGCTTTCTACAAGTTTATTATCATTCTTATTCAGGACAAACAGCTGAAGTGTTCTTTCGGCAATCTTAATAGACTAAACACTTGCTGAGACACCTAGTGTCAGTGAAAGTTCACACAAGGACACATCAGGCCTTAAACACTACAGAGGACATGAGCTTCTGTTAAATGTATAACATTCCTTAATCATTTAAACGCATACTAATTAGTCATTTCGATTTTTTCCCAACAGCTACATTGTTTTCTTTTCCTTTACTTTTTTCTATATTGACATAGTGCAGCTCAACGTCATTGTGTTTTTCCACCACAAGCTTTTCATTGCTCTCCTCCTCTACCTCCACCTCTTCCTCCTTTCCTTTCTTCTTCTCAATCAGCAAATCTTGGATTTCCAGATCACCTTCTTCCTCTCACTCTCTACACGTTGCCATGAAGATCTTTATCTCTCCGTCTTCAGTGAGCAGACTTGTGTGAAAAGCATTTTTAAAGTTCTCGGTGAAAGTCAGATCGGCCTCCAACCTCACCTTGTTGGCCCAGATCACAGTCGTTCCTGGTTTGCAGAAATGCTTCATGGTGACCAGGAGCTCATCCAGGAAGTCGTGATGATAGACCACGTCAGCTGCCAGCACGTAGTCATACCGGTAGACTGATGTAGGGTAGGTGCTCTCCAGGTCATGGCCCCAGGACAGAGCTGCCACCTGGGGAGTGTATCTGCAACGCCCCCTGGTGTTCCTCATCACATTGGCCCGGAGGTTACCCAACACGTCAGGTAAGTCTGTAGCTGTGACTGAAGCTCCTGAGGAAAACAGGACATCTGACATGAAAATAGCTACAATAACAGTAAAAAAAAGCATACTGGTGACCTTTGTTAAGGAGTTTGTAGTGTGCAAATGCAGTTTTAATGTAGCTACTGATCTGAATTTTTCTGCATCACATCTTTGATCCATTGATTGTGTAATGGAGGGCTTCCATTGAAATATAATTGAGTGTCTAGGTAATAGAGAGGAAAAGGCAATGACTGATTTGAGTCATGTGGAACTGAGAATATACCAAAAATGGCAATTGTAGGAGAGGGCTTGATATCAGGTCCCTCTGGTTTTACTGCCGACAGTTGATAATGGTTTTGGCTTCACCACACATTGGTTTTACCACGAAATGAAATGGTGTCTGTTGACACCTGTCACATCACAGATGGCGCTTAGGTTTGGGAATATTCTCTCAAGTTTGGCTTCAGAGAAGTGTAGCCGAACACTTTGTTCTATTTTAAGGCACGTGTTTAAAAGAGAAATGGACCCTGAAAAGAGCCCTGTCCCATTCCTCGTCTGACGTTTCTTGTCTTTTCACTGACTTGTACTTTGTACCTGTGCAAATGGCAAATCAAGTTTAACGTGAATATAAACGTCTTACCGAGGAGCGCTGCTACAACAGACATGAGGCCAGTTCCTGCTCCGATCTCCAGGACCGTCTTGTCCACAAGACTCAACTGTTCCCGGTGAGTGTCCAGGTAGTGACAGAGAGCCAGAGCCTGAGGTCAGTCAAGATGACTTTGAGTTACAGGAGGTATAAGCACTTTAGGGTTGGGGCAACTGAAGGATCACTGGAGCAGGTTAAGTATGGACCCGAGGCTCAGAGCAGCAAAGACCAACAAGGTCTTTGTAGATGATTAAGTAACAGTGGATATCATGATGTCCAGGGGCCTCAGAGTGCAAGTAGCAGCACGTCAATATATGATATCCCCATAATCCAGAACTGACACTAACACTGTGAGTGGGATTGCATCAATAAACAGAGCCATCCCAGAAAATATAGTATTGACAAGTGTAATGGTACACACAGGTATTGTCTGTCATATTCTGGCAAATGAGGTTGCAAATCTCCAAAAAAAGGTGCTACTCACCGCCGGCCATACCATGCCTGCATAGCAGTCAAGAACCCCTTCGATAAAAATCTCCTGCCCAACGTAATAGTACACCTCCTTATTGGCTCTGAGGTAGAAACTCGGAGCCCAGTATGATCTGGCCCTAGGTTGCTTCTGGGCGGCCGACTCATCTGAATGATACAAAAATCAGATGCTCAGTTCTCTGAGGTCTCTCAGCGAGACTTTGGAAACGTTTTACATCCTGCTTTTTCTTGCATCCTTCATCTTACCTTTTTCTTCCTCTTTATCTTCTTCTTCCTCTTCCGCTCCGTTCTCCCTGCATTTCATATAATGGGTTTCCCCCAAAAGGTGTGTGGACAAAGTATCCATATAATCCTGTATGCTGTTGGATTTAAACAGATCTCAGATATTAGAGTTTGAGCTTCAATTCAATGTTTTTTTAAACATGTAATAACGTCCTGTTTCTTTTTTTTTTCATAACTTAGTTATCTTTCCTGTTGATACAAAAGTAAAATCATTATTATTAAAACAGGATTTATACAAGATATAAACAAGATTGTACAAGATTTTCAAGTCATATATTTTTGATATTTTGCTTACTGATCTGCGACTGTGATTTCTACCTTCTCTACATCATTTTGCTGTGTTTATATAATTATTTATTTTCTTTTAACTGGTAACTGCAGTCCTTCAGTCTAGCCAGCTATATAGGCAAAACAAGTCCTCCAACGTGACCATAAACAGAGCACAATAAACATCCTAATTCTTGATAAAAAAAAGGTCTTAGTGCAAACTTCCCACATAGCTTTTTTAAATACAATCAAAACCTCACTTTCAAACACCCTACCCGTGACCTTTGACCTACCTGCTTGTGCTTTATTTCCCAGTGAAGGATCTTAGGAGACATCAGACTGCATCTTGGAGCATCTGACTTTAAGGTTATAGCATCCTGTTGGTTACACCCATCCTCATCATAAGGACACAAGGGTATTTTTAGAGCCATGACCAGGAGAAATGAACACAAGCAAGATACAAGTTCAGCGCGCACGTAAACACACACACAAACAACAACAAAGATGAGACTGTCAAGGAGCCAAAATGACAGGAATATCATGATACCAGCAGGCATGTATCTTTGCTTCCAGTGTCGCTTATGGACTTCCCCTGCTGGTGCTTCATAGAATCCTCCACAGTCTGTAAGTTCGTACTGAATATCATTTGAAATGATATAAAATTAAGTAATACTAAACCTGTAAAAAAACGACTCCTGCATTAACTCTGCTGAATGATTTCCAGCTACTTGGTAGTCCACAAAAAGTCACATCGGAAAACCAGACCAAAACCTTTTTTGTGCTTGGCATATTGGCAGAAAGACCTTGAATGTGTATGTTGTCACCCAAACATTTATAACCCCAAAGCCTTATGAAGTCATTTTAACTGCTGTTAAGTTGGTCACACTTTTGTCACAATATAGATAATTGAATGTAAAGATGACGCAAAGTCTGGAACGTGTCTATGCTGTCCTTGCCAACTCGTTTTTCTTGCAATGCCTCACCAGAGATGAGAGGTAACAGGATCAGCTTGGCATGAAGGGGGCTTCTGTAATTTTATTCTCAATTAGACCTTCCTCAGTTACATTTGACATCTTGGGTCATGAAGTATCACCTTCCAGTTTCAGGTATCCTCAAACTAAATCCACTCGCGTCCCAAAACTTGGACTCCATCCAGGACCTCAGGATGGTTTGACCTGAAGAGGGGGAGTGCACAGTGGTTAGGTCATTCCTAAACTGTGTGTTGTTGATGTGGAGCAGCCTTACTTGGACAGAAGATAAGAGTTTTTAAGCTTGAGTTTTTGGCAGTATCTCAGCTATGTCTCTCGGTGAAAGGTTGTTTGTTATCAAGAGACTGTTGAAAGAGTGATGAAGTTAACCGATGCCTCTTCAAGGCCTCAGAGAGTCTTCAGCTACTCGGTGCTTCACCGCCACCAGAACAGATAGCCTGTCTTGTCCCCCTTTAACCCAGCATGTGTTTCGGCTTCCAAACACATATCCATCACACGAATAATATATTAAATGTCAGATTTAAAAGGTTACACGAATAGCAGGTGACTTCAAGTTGCTCTTTCCAATATAATTAAGCTAACTGGTGACTTTCCAAAACATGCAAAGTTTGTGTGTGACTCATGTTACTGAAGCAGCACAAACTGCCCAATATGGATGTGATCTTTGAATTTGACCTCGTTTTGCAGCTGAATGTTACGTAAGGTCGCCTCTTTTGGGTGTGAACATATACAGTATGTTGCAAATAATTATTAAATTTGTCGGACTTATGGCAAACTTGGTAGCAAACAGTTGCTTATTAACACATCCACATTCACTCTCTTAAAGCTCTGTTTTTAGTCTCTACCAACAAGAACATATCTGACTCCTCAGCTGCTAAATGCTACGCTATGTTCCCCAGCTTGTAGCTAACTGTGTCTGTCTGCTCTTTGGTGCTGAGCAGGAAGTGTACACAGAGTTTTTAAAGCTTTTTAGCTGAAAATGAAGCTATAACAGCAGTGAAAGTCAATCAAAACGGTAAAGTTGAACTAAGCAATTAGCTATAACTTGCTGTAAATCTCTGTAAAGCTAAGGGTAGCAGAAGATCTTTTTTTGTGAGAATTCTCTAAAGGTTCATCACTGCAAGCGAAACATTGTCACATTGGGGAAAACATTTTAAGTTTGGCCTGATGGTGGTGCCAGAAGAAAGGTTTTGTTGTTACCTCAATCCTAAGGGTGTATCCTCTGTATGCAGCTGGTCTTGTCAGGTTTAACTCTACATTTTTAGACCTGCTAAACTTTCACCAGCCTCGGTTGTGCTTTAAAGCTCAGCTTTGCTTGCTGCTGACTGTTAATAACGTTATCAGATTAAAGCGCCAGTTGTTCATGGTCGCCAGAGGATTCATCTTTAGGGAACCATCAGTGAGGAAAAACGTTTTTTGACAACTGTGACATTGCCATTAGGTGACAAATCCCAAATGCCCACTAAACATAAAAAAAGCCTCGAGTGTATCCAGACATACATTTGCCAGTTTATTAAGTTCAGCTAAATGATCATATCAGCAAAAAAAATAAGGCCATTCAGCTTTTGTTGACCCCTTGTCAGAAGGAATTCAACGGTCATTTTGAAGTTTACACCTGTAAATACTGTAAATAATATAATAACGTGTAAAAACATGGATCACAACTTGTGATTGTGATCCATCTGGCATATCAAACTATGAATATCAACAAGTCTTAATGTAGACATTTGCACATGCGATCCATAAAAACACGACATTACAAACATTTCCATTCAGCAAGACAATTTACACATTTTACCTAATTCTGCAGTCACAGACGCACTCACGCAATCTCACACACAATGAACATACACTGTGTATTAACAATTCAAGCAGCAGCCCCTCCCTGGTCCTTAGTCCTCTTGTCCTTCCTCCAGGCTCGGTACAGTTTGATACTTAGACTGGGGAGGTCGTACAGCTCCTCCAAGTGGAAGTGCTGCCGAAAGCGATCAACAAAGCTGTTCTCTGGGTCCAGACGAAAGCGCATGGCCCACAGGATCTGTGTGTTTTCCTGGCACAGGTGGTCAAAGGCGTCCATTAGCTCCTCGAGGTAAGGATGGGCGTACACCACGTCAGCTGCCAGGATGTAGTCGAAACAATGTGTGGCACGCGGGAAACGCTGCTCCACCTCCTGACCCCAGATGAGCTCTGTGACCTAGAAACAGAGATGATTGAGTAAAACACCAACACAATGTAACATACATGATGGTTGGATTTATAAAGATCAACCCAACAGTATGAAATCTGAATAGAAAAACGCTACCAGAGGGATGTACTTGCATCGGTCCTTGGTGTTGCGCATGACATTGTACTTGAGGTTCCCCAACACATCCGGCAGGTCAGTGGAGGTCACCTTAGCACCTGGAGAGAGACAGTGCAACTTCGTGTTAAAGGGAATGAGATACAAACAGCAACAGAGAGAGGACACATTTAAAGATTAAGTCAAAGAGACTTGTTAGAGCTAATCACCAGATGTGTTTTGTTGCTGTACCTAACAGGCTGGACACGATGGAGACAAGCCCAGTTCCAGCACCAAGTTCAATCACATTTTTGTCCGTCAGGTTGTATTCGTCTCGGTTGGTCTCTAAGAAATGACACAACACCATCGCCTGTTGGGGAACACAGGTTTAAAGTTCACTGGCAGCAGCAGTGCAGCAGCTAATTATTTGTGATAATGTATAAATCGGGGCGTACCGAGGGCCAGAGTACAGCTCCATAGAGGTCTGTGGACTCTTTAATACGGATTTCCAAATCAGAAAAAACGTATCCCTCCCAGGCTTCCGGACCAATCAAGGAGGGGTGGAAACACCGAGCCATTATGGCTTTAGCTAGCTCTGCATCCACAGCAGCTAGGGAAAGAAAATACCACATAAAGCTTAAAGTGTGATAGTGTAGTGAGTGAGGACAATGCAGAGCCTAGAATAACACAAGACAGACAAATAGACCTTTTTCACAGCAGGCATTTTGACGTCACAGCAGGAGACACTGACTCACTAGTACATTGAAATAGTATGGAGCTATAATTATGTTATTTGTTGCACCTGTGCTTTTCCTCTTGTGACAAGTCAAGAATTGCTGTGAAAAAGGTCATTAGAATACAGTTTGTAACCTATACAATGCTACTGAGGCAAAATAACCGAAAGGCCTTATAACACAGCTCAGTAGTTTAATACTAGTTTTGTTAAAGATAATAATGGCTGTTTTTTCTATGAAAGACACTTAATGGCTAAATTTGCATCGACGTTTGAAATTTGCATTTGATTAGGAACTACAATAGTTCCTATGAATATTTTGGCACAGTGAGGATTATCCAGATTAGCAAGGACATTGTATTCGGAAAGAATGTTGATTTGTTTTAGTGCATTTTTTCGAGAGAAGCGTGCAGAAATCTCATAGATTAGATGGCTGTCTTAAAACTTGGTAAGGTGGTGGGTAATTTAGGTGAAACAGTCTCAAAATGAGTTCAAAAATAAACTATCAAAAACAAGATGGTACTGCAGGGCTACTGTGCGGGATTGGTAGGTGTTTCTTTTATTTTGTCCACCACTGCACATCACTTAAAAATGACACTTAAATGTGCCAACCCTAAATCAAGCAGATGAGTAATCATGTTCTTCTTTCATATCACATTACGGGTAACATTTGATTCTCTGCTCTATAAATGAATCACATTTAGGCTCATAATGCCCATCTGATCCTGCTGTTTGTTTGCCACATCATGCCCGTGTGTCAGACTCCAGCTATGTTACAGTGCCGACGGATACTCAGAGCATCTGATACACAACTTCAGTTATGCAACACTGGTTTGGAGAAAAGGTCAGGGCAGCCCACAGAGCAACAATGCAGGAGGTTGGGGAGTGCATTTATAGCTGTTGTGTGTATTATAATGTTATGTCATTAACGAGCAGAGATGCAATTGTTTGCATGGAATAAATATTTCAACATCTTATGAGCTGTGACATTATATTCATACTCAGTTGATTTATGGGATTTAAAATTAACTCTGCATGCATACTTTCTCTGAAATGTGATTCCCAAAAAGTATAAAGTGCACCATACTGCCAATATCAATCAATGCCAATTAAATTAGAAAGAAAAGTCTGTAGTTTTTAGTTGTGTATTACAAATTCTCACCTTCTTCTTTGGTCGTGGAGTCCTCCTTCATGGCCTTAGACTGTTGAGTCTCCATGTTTGAAGGAGTCCAAGCAGGAGGGCTAGAACGCCCCAAACAGAAAATCTATAGCAGCCAACTGATTCTTTGGTCGCGAATCTTTTGGATTTCAGTCAATCTGGATCCAGATCTGCAGTAGGCTGTTAGCTGTCACCTCTGTGGTTTTAATTTACGCCCAAATAAAGTGTGTCCTAACTTCTTGTCCAACCACTTCAACTCCACTCAACATTTCTAGCTCTCTCTGGGCTTGCTTAAACCCCCTCTCTATTGCAGTATGACTGACAGACAGCGACAGCTGCTCCGTCCGACTGCTGAACTGGAGCTGGGGAGTGAAGAGGAGGGGTTATGTTAAAATACTGACCCAAAGTATACTTAATTTATAAAGTTAAAATAGAACTTTGAAAATAGAACGCTTACATTTTTCCCCACGTATACAAAAGCCTCGACGTTTTGTGTGTTTTCCGAGGCAGGAGGAGGGTCGGTGTATGCTGGAGCAGTATGTATGCGACTGAAATACTGACTGGAAGAAATTTGTGGAGCAGAAGACTTGCACCTGTCTCAGTCTCGCACTTAAAAAGTGAGTGGAATGTCTGAAGATGTGCCAAACTTTCATCTACTGCAGAAATACTTCCAACTACCAAAATCATTTAGCTCAAAGATTTAATGCAAAAATATTCTCATTCCTCTCACAGATCGTAAACCTCGAAACATATGAAAAAAATATTTTCAGTCACCTCGATAGTTTAAAAAAATACATATTGTATTATACAGAAAAGGCTCAATTCATTACGTGATTCATTTACACATTTCCCTTGTAAATATCAGATATAATATCACAGACATTGTTTAGGAGTGAGCGACATGTTTCACAACACAACCGCTTGGACAATTTCTGTTTGTAGTTCAGTCACAGCTTCTTCCCCCGTCCCTTTCCTCTCTTGCTTCCTCTCCCTCTCGTGCTTTTCGCTCCACGGCCTCGTCGGCTGCCTTCGAAGACAGATCGGGCTGTAACCATGGCAACTTCCCCACCACGGTCGCTGTCTTCACTGGAGCTGCTGCTCCTCCTGGCCCACCGAGGTACAGCCTTAGTGGGCTGGGGGACGGCCTTTACCGAGACAGACTCCTGGTTGGTGCTGCTCACATCCTTCAGAGATGGAAGAGGAGACTCAACAATCACCTCCGACCCCAGAAACCCTCCTCCTGCCACAGACGTCTTCTCTTCTCCTTCTCCCTTTCCTCCTCCTCCTCCTCCTCCTTTCTTCAGACTCTTGCTTGCTGCCTTTCCTTTCTTAGTTTTGGATGGGGATGGACTTTCCTCATCACTGTCCTCCTCTTCCTCTCCTCCTTTTCTCTCCTTCCTCTTCAAGCAGGTGACGGCTCTGCGCAGTCGCTGGCTGCGAATCGCCTGCTTTTCCTGTTGCTCCATGCGGAAGAATGAGTCGATCCGCAGCTGAGTCTAGACCAAAACGGGGAGGGAGGAAGTATAAATGATGTAAGACTAGAGCATTTATTCATACTTTTAACTAACTATCACAACTTCTCTGCTCACTTGCTAACTCAATTGCATCCCACAAATCTGTAATCACATTTGACTGTTTATGTTCCTCCTTAATGCAAACATGTGGATATATATTTCACTGCAAAAGTGTCCCTCGGGGTACAAAGTACACCTGGTTACCTGCTGGGTGCTGAGCTGCTTGATCACAGGCTGAAGGGTCTCCTCTGTCCTCCGACTGCTCCAGCCAAAACGACTCAGACAGAATGTAAAAGACTGGTTAAGGAAACTTAACACTATCATGAATGTGCCACCCCCCACCCCCCACCCCACACACACACACACACACACACACACACACACACACACACACACAC